AATTTGAAATATAAATAATATATTTACAAAAACTATATAAAAAATAAAATTAAAATTTGGATTAGGGTTAGAGTTGGGCTCGGCTTGCTAACACCTCAACCTAAGTCAAATCTTAATTAACTAAGTTCAGATTATGATTTTTTAACTCAAACCTAACTCTAATTGGATAAATAGTTGCAAATGTTCCTTAAAAATCGAACTGAACTCTCGGAGGTGCTGACCCGCAACGAGGCAGAGATGATTAGATCAGGTTGACCCTTACAAGTTGCATCCCTATTAAAAGAAGAGTTAAATGCGGAAAACACCCCTAAAATATACTCATGCCACTTTCACATACCCACTATTTTTAAAGGTGTGCTATTATCTCCCTTAATCTTTCAAAAATGTGGGAAACATCATCCCCTTGAATTGTTTGACAGAAAAATAATGTTTTAATGTATGTTTTAGCCTTTTAACCTTCCAAAAATGCCCAGGGGTTTGTATTATATATATATTGGATTTCATATATAGTAGTAGGGTATTATGTGTACATCAACTATATTTAACCCACTTAATTTTTTTTTTTTTTTCTCTCTCTCTCTCTCTCTATATATATATATATTTCTTCTAAAAATATAGTGTTTTTTTCTCTCTCTATATTTCCCAAAAACAATATATACATTATATAGTAAAAGAACAAAAATACACTATAAAATATATCCACTGTATTTTTCACTTGTGTTTTGTGCAAGTGAGGGGTTGATATGCACAGTAAGCATTGCATTTAACCTTTTTAACTTTTGACTTTTCGTCATTTTACAAAATTACCTTTTTTAAATAATATGTAAAATTTCTCAATAAGGGTAATTTGGGTATATCATGTTACGAAAGAATTATTTGCACCAAATAAATACTTTGAGGGTGTTCTGTGCAGGTAGGAAGTGTGATACACGTACAGTACTAGATAGTAGATCGATGAGTGTTTTGCACGGTTGACCCTTAAAAAAATTACTGCGTGTCACATTTATGTCCATATTGTAGAGAAAACATTGTCACAGAAAATATATGTTTTGAGTGAAATTATAGTGTGACACAGATACCATTTTGTAGCCGCATTAACAGAATATAACGTGGATATATATATAATGAATGTTTCTTTCAGAATGTAGGTCTTGTTTGGCTTCCTCTTCCCCTCTCTGGTTCTTTTGCATGCACAAAGTGATCCCCATGCAAAGATATATCATTTTGGGGTGTGACAGAGTAGTCATATAAAGAGTAACCGATCTTACACCAAGTATAAATGGAAAAACGCAGACACATACATAAATATATATGTATATGTATATATAGATGTTCACACAGTTATACACATTAACTATTACAGTAGCAAAATTTCAATTGGTCTAAGGTATTGGTGAGGAGTATATACATTAGGTAAGCCAAACATATCACGTCATTGATAGCAATCTCTCTAGAGGGCTTAGGTTTGTTACAACCATACACTTATTTATTACAGATATACGTATAAGATAAGGTACAGAAATATTCAAACAATTTGTAATGGGAACAAAAAGAGCGTACATGTTTGAAAATAAAAATGAATGGGGGCTTTCATAATTAAATTCAAAGTTTTGGTTTTAATTCTATTCGAACCTTCATCATGCCATATCTATCCACTTTTCGCCTTTATAGTATTTTCAATGTTGATTTATTGCCAGGGGCGGAGTCAGGAATTTGTTTCAGAGGGCACCGTATTAAAAATGATAAATTATATTTTTTTCAAACAAATAGTGACATAAGACAATAAGTCAAAAAATAGAACTGTAATAATGGTGGAATAATAGTATTTAATAATTTGAAAAATAATTATTTTAAAAAAATGGAAACATAAAATACCGACCTTAAAGAGTCCTTTTAGCAACAAATTTAATTACCAAACTTTGAAGAGAAAAAAAAATATATATATAGTTTGAATAAAGGAATGCAACTTTTTTTTTAAAGAGAAGATAAAAAAATAAAAAAAAATAAAAAAAAAAAAAGAAAAAGAAGAAGAAGAAGAAGAAGAAGAAGAAGAAGAAGATGATGATGAGGAGGAGGAGGAGTAAGAATGAAAAGAAAGGAAAAAGTAAAGATATTTTTTAAAAATAATTATTTTAGTGGGCATTTTTGTAAAATTTTATAAATTATTGGCCTATTTGCAATAAAAATTAATTGGCCCAAGGGTAAATAATTATTTCAGGAGGCATTTTTCACTTTTTTATTAATTATTAGCCTATGTGTAATAAAAATTAATGGCCATTTTCTAAAAAAAAAAATTATTTTAGGGGGGGCATTTTGAAAACTTTTCTAAATTATAGGTCATTTTGTAATTAAAACTAATGAGCTAGCATGGGCCCAGGGGCATGGCCCCCCCTGGGCCTATGCTGGCTCCGCCCATGCTTATTGCTTATTGCTTCAAGCATATAATTTGACACACACACACACACACATATATATATATATATATATATATATATATATATCATTTTTCATATATACATTAATGGTTTCACATCGCACCATCCCATCTAGTTGGCCTCAGATAACCATACAACAAATGGTCCATCAATTAAATGGTTTATATACTGAAATGATCATGTATATATACAGATGATTCCAAACTGATCACTTCACTTCAAGGTCTCATGGAGACTTAATTTCTCTGTTTTCCCACTCGATTTGTCTGTAATGCCCGCTACATTAAATTTCTTTGGCCATTCATGACAGGTCATTAGTTTATTTTTCACTCTTATATCCATTAAGTAAGAAAGTTGTGTCTGATTTGCATGTGTATAAATTAATTAAGCTGGCCAATTGGTGATATCGTTGTCAGTACTATATATTATTTGATTGCAGTTAATGAATACATATATAAATACATACATATACATATATATATATATATATATATATATATATATATTTGTGTGTGTCCAATTAATGATTGTGAGACCATCACCAAACAATTTGATGACTCAAATTCAAAAAGGTTCTACCTATACACCACTTCCTACTAGATAAGAAATTAAAAGGGAAGTTTTTCAAAAGAGTCGACTGAAGCCAATTCATTTCAAACTACCACCTCATCAAGCGTTTCATATGCTTTGTTTTAGCTCTTATCTGTGTATATATATATATATATATATATATTTCTTTTTTGGAAGGTAAGCAGCAATCTCATACATTCATGTACTTGAGACTTGAATCCATAACTTTCATTTGGGGAGTTGGGGAGTAGGAATCTATACGGCCAAAATTATTTAAAGATATTATACTCAAGTACTATATATATTAATCAAATCCATCACCAAATTGAAACTATTTAAAGATATTATACTCATGCACTAAATAGGTATATTAATCAAATCCATCACCAAATTGAAACTATTTTAATATGTGATTATGATATAAAGGTAATCAAATAGCAAGATAGTTGTTTTGTTTCTTTGTCTGTTTGTGTGTGTTTATCTTGCAATTAATTTAATTAAGAAGGGTTCATGCACTAGTTGACTATAGAAAATATGTTTCACATTGTTTATATATTTCTTAAAGCATAAATTAAGGGCATTATGTCTCGTTTATGCTTTCATAATTCTTAAAATAAAAAATAAAAAATCAATTCCTTTTTATATGAGATAATAATCATTAGAACAACTGTATTATAAACTAATTATATCTTGTCAAAAAAGTAAAAATACAGTTATTTATTTATTTATTTTTGGATCATATCACATTACGTGTCAACATTTAATTAGTCGATGACACTGTATAGCATTTTTCACTCTCAAAGCATTAAAGTATTTTTTCCAAAATACACAACAAAGGGTTTTGAGAAGCTGAAAATTTGGAGAAGGTTTGGATTGAAAATTCTCAACTTGATTATTGTACTTAATAGAGGCATTTAATCAAACATAGCCCAACCAGATTTTTTATTGATTTTATTTTTACTACTTGTAGTATTGTTATTAAATATACAATAGTCCGAGCCTAACCAATTAATTCGAGATGAGTTTGTCACATAGGTGAAGTTGGGCTTGAAATATGGGCTTTTTGAATCAGAACTTCAAAATAGGAAAAAGTAAAAGAGGCCCGATTCCATGCCATACGGGTTTCCACAAAATGACCCATTTTGAAACCCATTTTCGACACGTTTATATGTACTTTAAAGCAAACTATCATCAACAACAAAGCTGGAATAGCTCAGTTGGCTAGAGCGTGTGGCTGTTAACCACAAGGTCGGAGGTTCAAGCCCTCCTTCTAGCGTTCTTTCATTTTTATTTTTTTTAAATTTTTAAACCATCTTTTTTTCAGTCCTAAAAATGTATTTGCAAACATGCACCAATTGTTGTCAAATTTCGCAGCTCTTTGTAGTCAAGGATGGTCACATTCTGCAATTTATTGCATCCAATGCATAAAAAATTCTTCTCGGTTTGACTATTATTAAGTCTAAGAATCATTGTTCTTCTTTTCGCCATTTTATTTAGGTTGTCTGCATAAAAAAAATTTATCTTTTTATTTTTCCGGTTCTCATTTTCTATTCCTTATAATAAATTCTCTTTCAAAGAAAATAAGTGATCTGTATACCAAATTACAAAAAATGGAATAAGCAAAAGGTTTCCACTATTGCCAAAGCAGCATTGATTGTTGCCAGAAACAAGTTCTAACATGCATCATTATTATACAGTCGTGCATCACTTAAGCCCAAGTCAATACTGCTTCGACACTAAATAGTATAAACCTTAAACAAATTTCGTGAATTGTTATGAAGTTGAAATATTTCCAGGTCTTCACCATCGGAAATGAAATTAGTACTTAAAAACTCCAATCAAACACTTGATTACATTATAATAAGCTGCAGTAAGTGAAAAATCTTCCCTTGGGCTACAAAAATGGCACGCTCGTTCATATTTCTCAACTCAACTCGTCATTCGATCAAAATCAGTTCAAAGCAATTCCAGAGGAGACATGTATACATTCAAGTGTAAGGATAATAAAAATTAAAGATTGATATTAGAAAGAGGAAGATACAAAAGCCTGCACATAAATATACAAAATGGATTACAAAGAAAAACTATGAACATATGTGCAAGCCATCACTGGCATTTCACAGTTCAAAACGAGTTGAAAAAAAAAAAAAGATTTAAAATGACAACAACAAAAAGAGACTATCGTTTGACAATAATGACAGAAATGTCGACAGATTAAAATTTGAGGCACATGATGCTGCTGCACTCAGAAAAAGCTCAAAACTTTCCACCAGCATGCACGTTCAATTGTTCGGTTAGAAATTTACACTTGCGGTGGTCAACTTTTGTGAGAGAACTGCTCACCAGATTGCTCTTCATTTTAGTCCATTGCTTTCCTTAAAAGCTCATAGCCGGCAAAGTTCATGGCACCCAGTGGAGCAACCCAGAAGAACCTGGGTACAGCTCCTTTAAATAATCCAAGGGGTCCCTCGTGATGGAGAATAGAAAAGGCTACCATTGACATGGAAACCGACCGGCCTTGGGGTGCAGTCATCATTCTAGTCTTCACCACATCAAAGGGTGTTGTAAGAACAGCAGTTAGCCCACCAGATATAGCCCCAACAGCAATTATCTCCCAGGGCTCCAGATCGCGTCCCAAAAGCTTCTGGACAACCTAGAAACAGCACACATTGTAGTCAACATACAGAAATAAAGTACAACCAAAATCAATTCAAACTCCAATCCATTCATACCATTCAGCTTTACTGCATAATATTTTTAAAATTGCAGCAGAAACAACTGCAATCAATGATGATGTGCGGTAATAAATAAATAAATAGATAGATTGTGATGAGCAACCATATAATGCATATTGCAGTGTAAACAAGAAGAAAAATAAATGATTCACTTGTAATTAGCATACCCTCAAAAGAAAAATGAGGCAAGTGAGTCTGCATCAGCCCACAAGTTCATGTCAGGGGACTTCTTCCTTCTGATTCTTTTGACCCATGAGAATTTTAAATATCCAAGTGAAAAAGTTGCCCATATTTCAATAGTTTGATCAACTGGTGACTGTTTTTGTTGGTAAAGAAACCTTGGCCAACAATTTCAGTCTATGAAGCTTTTGTAACTGCAAATCCATGTTCGTGTGTGGAAGTAGTACACCTCCATCACACTGGTGAACTCAGCATAACCTTAACTTGCAGAGTACAAACTTTAATTTGATCTCTTTGAATGTTAGATTTTTCAAGAAACCATTTCCTTTACAATTGTTCAGTGACACATTAATGACGTCTTGTTTTCAGATCATTTGTCTGCTTAGTTAACAGTGAAAATTGAATCCAGGTTCCCGCCCCACTCTACAGATGCATTTATCACCAGGCTATGATAACATTGGCCATGTTTTGCATATCTATTTTTAATCATCTAGAAGTTGTTGGGAAGTTGTTATTTGCCTGGTGATTGATCAGAAAGTATATGGAAGACAGTACCCTCAGTTGATCTTCCACATTTATGGAGGATATAAGATTTTATTTTAGTGTAAAGAATAAAAATGACTTTGGATAGGATTCCAGATACGGTTTTTGAGTCCATATATCTTTAGCTATCTGTTACAAACTTCACAGCTATATATTCTCGTCCTCTCTTTTAGACATGGGTTGTCAATTGCTTCTTCCTTGTCTAGCTATCAGCCTATCACACTATTATACGTGTATGTAATACTTTGCCTAATCAACCTTCTATAAAATACAATTGTGATGTATTGATGCTATAAATCATTTATTGAAGCATGAATCTTAATGTGAAGATGAAAGAACAGGAATATAAAATGTTTGTAATACTTTGCCTAATCAACCTTCTATAAAATACAATTGTGATGTATTGATGCTATAAATCATTTATTGAGGCATGAATCTTAATGTGAAGATGAAAGGACAGGAATATAAAAATACTACTGGAGCTAACCACAATGCAAATTTGGACATTGCAACTTTCATCTGTGTAGCCAACCTTATTATTTAGTCCAAAGGCTTCATTCTTTTGAGTGTGTATGTTAGGAAGCATACATTGAATACTAAATGGACTAAATCCATGAATCAAATTGTATGTTGAGAGTCGGTGAATGCAAAGCCAAAGACATATATTTCTATTTATATGCTACTCCATACCTTTTTGGACTCGGCATAAAGCCCTGCGCCCACAACATAGAATGGAATCTCCCGGCAGAGCGTGGCACCCGTCCCACGGAAAAAACCCTTAAGACCATCTTGATGCCAAGTTCCAACAATTGCCTGTCCCACATTGTCAAAAATGCCAGCCTGCAACCTTTGCTTTAATACCTCACATGGTATCCGCGCTACTGTCCCCAGGAAAGTGCTACAGAATGATGCTACAGTTTGAACCTAAGTAGCATGCATGTACAAAGTAACTTCTTTCAGTGCTTCAAATCAATATCAACATCTAAGAGACTCTTAATATACAACATCCCCATTCAAACTCATATATGGCACCAAGTTGTGCCTCAAAACTTCAAATTACTCTTAAATATACTTTATCCCATCCAGTCACATTTGGCACCAAACAGTGTGCCACAACACTTCAAATGGATATATATATATATATAGATATATATATATATAGAGAGAGAGAGGGAGAGAGAGAGAGAGAGTGAAAGACATTCCTTATGATTAGCACAATCTATGGCAGTGCACGTGCTACACTAGTAACTTGTTGACCATTTCTGAAGCCTATATGCAAGCTGTTTAGCAAAACCTAACCTGTGGGAGTTACTTTTGCATCACTGTTCTACTTTCAGCTTTCGAAAACATAGGTGGAATGAATAGTAACCACCTCAAAAGTTGGGAAGTTCCCTAACGATGCATTTGAATTGGAAGGTAAGGGACTTACCAAAAAAAAAAAAAAAGAATTGGAAGGATAGGGAAGGAAAAGGAAGGATAGCTTATAACGCATCTAAATAAAAATGCGAGAGAAAAGGAATGAGAGGGTAAAGGAAGGATAGCTAGACCCATTTCTCTATCCTTCCAAAAACTGGAGGAAACGGATGGAAAGGATAGGAAAATTAGTGATTACCCATTTAACTCATTTTTTTTATAACAATAGAATTTATTCAAACATGAGAAGATGTTAATACCATCCTTTCCTTTCCTTTCTTTTCTCTCATAATTAGTGCAATCCTCTCCTTTCCTGTTCCTCCTAATTATCCAAACGAGCTGTTAATATAATCTTACAAAATCCAGAGAATGAAGAGCATGCATATATTGAAGACGTAGAGAAGCTTGCATCAAGATGTACTTCAGACACCAGCGTGATCAAAACACTCCATCAGAAAGAAAAAAAAAAAAAACATTTTATAAGATAAACACTTGTAGCCATATACCTGTGTCAAGGAAAGAATCTGGGCAGCCAACAAAGAAAAGTAATGAAACAAATTAAATTGAGATGAGAAAGTTGACATGGAAGAGACTGAAGACTAAGGGTCAGTTTGGTAGAGTAGAAAAGGGAGGAAAGGGAAGGGAAGGTGATGGAGGGGGATTAAAAATGTGTGTTTGGCAAAAATTGTTGGAAGGAAAGGGAAGTGAAGGGAAGGGTTTGGAGGGTTAGCTTGTGCCTTCAACAGTAGATTTCTTAACCTCCCAAAAATGGGAGGAAATGAAGGGAAAGGGAAGGAGAGGCTTGATGGGTGATTTCAGATGCCAATTTTACCCTCAAGATTGCAGAGAGAGAGAGAGACCGCCGGTGATTGAAGCTTGGAACGGCGACCCGAACTGGAACAGCAGCCATGGAAACTGAAGGATATGGGTTTTGGATTTTCTGAACAATCTGAAATGATACATCGATACGGGTTTGAACTTTTGATTCTTGCAAACAGATAGATAAACTGGAAATATATGGGTTTTGAATTTCTGATTCTTGTAGAGAGAGAGAGAGAGAGAGAGAGAGAGGCCAAGTTCAGTGTTGAGAAGGAGTTGCAGAGATGGAGCGAGATTGGGGAGGCTTTGCCCTATTTTTTTATTTTTCTTTTCTTATGGCCTCAAGTTAAAGACTTTATATATATATATATATATATATATATATATATATAAAATAGAGATGGAGGATTAGGGAGGCTGAAATGATTTGCCCTAATTTTTATTTATTTATTTATTTATTATTATTATTTTTTTTTGGCAAGTACATGAAACTATATATATATATATATATATATATATATAATATAAATATAAAGGGGTATAATAGTCCATATGTTAAAATAATTCCCTTCCATTTCTTTTCCTTTCTTTTCCCAAACATAATTATTGTCCTTCCCTTTCTTTTCCTTCATTAATCAACCAAACGCAATGGAGGTTTAAAATTATCCTTCCTTTTCCTTCCCTTCCCTTTCCCTCATAACTAATGTTATCCTTCCCCTTCAAACCCACCGTACCAAACAAAGCCTAAGAGTTCAGAGGAAACACTAAGGCCACTTTTATGTACCTAGGATAATTGATAGGAGCAAATAGATGACTGAAGCATGCTGGTTTCAGATATTTGGACATGTAAAGATAGTAAGAATTTCGATATTGAGAAGTGAAAACTGAGTTGGTCTAATAAAACAAATTACATAGGAACCACGAAACGGAAAAGAACAGTTATATTGTTAGAAGTCCTATGCTTAATCAGTAGATAATACGATTGATGTATTTTCACAACATAATGGGATTCATACTGGCAGTCCTTGTCTTTAAGAATAAACATTATGATTAAGTAGTAAATAGGCTTTACATAAATAACACTATAACAGTAACAATGGCAGAGAGAAGACGAAGAAATGCAACATCAAATTTATAAAATACGTAAATGTTGTAACAGCAAAATAAAACAAAATAATGAGAAAAATTAAGAAATCTATCAACAAATGAGCCATTAAAAATCATTGTAATGTACATTACCTGTATTTCTGGAAGTGTTGGAGCAACATTTATCAACACAAGTTTGCTTGCCTCAAAAATTCCAGTTCGCAAGCCATGACTGCAACGTCAGGGCATATTAGCAAAAAAAAAAAAAGGAAGGAATATCACCAGTAAAACTGATAAGAGAGACCAAAGGCCTTGTGGCCCAGTGATATCTCCTCTACCTCCCAAAGTGGATGGTGAGGGTTCGACCCATAGGGGCAAATGGGTGTGTGAGTTTCTTGCCAATGAATTAAAAAAAAAAAAAAAAAAACACTTGTAAGAGAGGGTAAATGACCAAAAATTACCTTGAAAATTGTCCAAGAACAGTTGGGATGGAGCCTCTGTATAATCCATGGACTCCAATTTCTGGAATCTTTGAGATGATCTCTGGAAAAGTAAGTGTCGATGCTTGTACTTGGGTCTGAAAAACCAGTAAACCATTGTCAGATGGTCTCATGGAACAATCATAAAAATTGCAAGGCTGTACTAAGACCAACGACACAACATCTTTTACCCTTATTATTTATTTAATTTTGTTATTTTTTCTGGTAAAATCACTTCTTCCACTTAATAAACACAACATTCATCTGCCAAGCCAGAATTCAAGACAAACCATAATTTTTGTTTTTTTTTTTTTTTTTTTCTTTTTTAATTTTTGAATAACAACGTATATTTATGAAGAAAATCACTGTCAGATTGAGAAACGTGACCTTACGTGATCAACAGATCACCTAGAGACATGCACTTTGAGAATGGGAACAAGCACACTAAGATGCATTTATTAGCTAAATAAAAAACCGGTTACATGGGTATTAGATGGAGCTGGATAGTCCAGACTCAGGCCTGAACCACGTGACAGCTCCACACAGATGGTACTTTCCTGTCTGGAACTAAAAAAAAATCGGGATGAACTTTATCCGAATTGTTAAGTCTGAATTTCCTAACTATCTGCAAGTCTGTAGTACCTAAGTTGGACGATGTTACTGGTTTCACAACCAAATATGACACTCAAAGAAAATCACCAACCTCAGACAGGAGCCTGGACAAAATTAGAGCAACACATCGGCAAGGGAATAAGGTCTAAGAGACCCCATCTCTACATTTAGAAATGCTTCCCAATGCAGGATTGAGCTTATGAATAAAAAATCTGAGACACTCGAATTAAACTCCGTTAAGGGAATGACAAGAATTCATTCATTCTAAGATACAGATTCCAATCTCAAACTGACTTTCAAATAAGGCAGGATAGCCTCGAACCTATCTCTTCTATGCTAATCTACAAGCATGTGATCCTCGTCTATAATATGGATGGCCGCCTATAGGTACTGCTTGTGCCAGGGCCAAGGTAAGCAACCCTAAATTTATACATTAAAACTCAGCCAATACACATTCAGGAATCTGACTTGATAACTTCGAGCCTTTGACCAATACCATACTGGTGACTAGGTTCTTGTGTTGTGACCATACATTGAAGGATTAAATGACCATAAAGTGATTTACACTGGGAGAAATAGTTCTACTTTTAATTTACTGAAACAAAAAATTACCCACTGCAATTTCCAATGCAATAAGAGAGACAAAAAGTGTAACTAATTAATCACTTAGCGCAACTGTACACGAAACTAGTTGGTTATGCACCAAAAGAAGCCAAGACTAGAAATGCAATACAGAATTCTTCATGACAAGACCCAATGAAATTTCAGTGCTTACATATGATGGCTCAGTAGACACTCATCCAGCATAAATGCCATAAAGCACAGCTAGTTCATGCTCATCTGAGATTTTTAGTGCTCCAAAAGTTATTAAGATTCATTACCAACGAAATAAATATAAAATGAGAGTTTTCTTGTCCATTGTAACACCAATGGGAGGGCTAAGCATTGACGTTACCATATTGAATGTCCTCTATTGGCATATTTATATTGAGTAACAATGTAACAAAATACATGATTATGTAAGTATTAAGCTGAAGACTTTGCCTTTATCGTATCGATGGGGTGCATTAGAAAACTAGATAATGCACAAGAAAGTCCCCCAGCCAATGCAGATTTAAGAACACTTCCAGCTGGAATTTCCACAGGCGGCGGAACAGCGACAACAGTAGCATCTTCAAACCAGATACTCCTGAATGTTTTACAAAAATTAGATGGAAGCAGAGCATAAACACCACCTATAAAATTCTGAAGTGCGTGCCCTTTGGGTCTGTTTGGCAACTATTTTTGCTTCGTGCTTTTGTTTTGACCCGAAACAGAAGCAATGTTTTTGCTTTGGAGTGTGTTCAATACTATCCGGAAGCATGTTTGGTAATGTATATTTGTTGCAAGACTTTTTAAAGCAAAAACATGAAAATATATTTGGTGATAAAAAGCGTTGCAAGTTTGAAAAATAAATGGCTAATTTAAAGGTCATTTAAGATTTTTTCTCTTGGGGTACTGTTCATCACTTCAATGAAGCTACCAGAAACACCAATTTGGTGCTTACGGTTTTGGCCTCTTTTTCAGAAATGTCTCAGTACTATTCAAATCGCAGCACACGTTACTACACACTGTCCAAAGCAAACATGAAGCAGAAGCGGTTGCCAAACAAGGTCTTTGTGTGAGGCCTTTTCGACTTCCAAAGTTAGTCCTACTTGTGAAAAATCATGGCACCTCTCCCCATACATGTTGCATGCCTTATTCCAATAGAAACTTTTCCAGAACATTATTTATACAAATAACTAAAAAATATATTAAATCCATCCATCATGTTGTGCTGCTAACATTCTCTCGTGATCTCATTCTAATGGGGGCATAAAAAAGATGTAAAATTCATTAGGTATTGGAGTAGACAAATTTTGGGGAGACATGGGATAAAATTTCCTATCAAATTAAATCCAAATTTTGATCACCTACAATAGCTTCCTCATGGTTTTCCAATTTAATTGTGTGGCTACTTTCACAACATCCTGTGCATGATCACCTAGATATAATGAGACCAGCTGCATAGCTTAAGAAAATTTGAAATACTTATTCAAAAGAACACAACTCATCTTACCGAGGATCTTTTTCTAGTCGATCAGATGGGAGCAGAAGCATAAAATTACGGAAATGTCCATAAGAAATTGATTCTTCTGTGTCTGCATTCAGAAACCGCATCATGGCAACAGCATTATCCTCATTTGCTGGAAGTCCGGCATTTTTTAGTGACGCCAATATTTCACTCTTTTGTAGTGTACCAGACTTGCTCAAACAGAGGGTAGTATAAGCTCGAAGAATGGTTGGTTCCTTTTGTTCCATCAAGGACAAGAATTGTTTCCAACCAAATGATTTTGAAAACAAGTGACTTCTAGCACAACACATGAATTCACGAGCATATCTCCGAGGCAGCTTTTTCTTTCGCATAGCAACTTCAAGATCTTCCAAATTAACTTGGCCATCGCCATCTCTATCCAGCTCCTCAAAGAACCTTCTTCCTGTAAAAATGCAAAATTTTAAAATTGGAAGTTTTCAGAAAACATGAGCCATCAGCAGATTGCCAAATAACTAATCCAAAGATAGCTATTTTCTCCAATTTAGGAGTGAAAATTAACAAGGTACATAAAAAAAACTTCAGGAGTACAGTGGATTTTTTTTCCCCCCTGTAAGTAAGCAATTATATTGAAAAGGAAAACAAACAATTACACTGTTAAAGGGGGCATACCCCTTAGAAGCATATTGTAGCCAAAATCATATCGTTATTCCAGAGGCAACAAAATGTCATGTAAATTGCATATTGCTAATGATGACATGCTTGCACCTCAATTTTTCTTATGTGGCCAACAACAAGGGATTACCTGATGCATATATAAGGGCCTGAGGGTAAATTCAAATTCAAATAAGTAAATAACAAATAACATGAATTTTGTTTGAAGTTAAAGGAAAGATTCCAGGTTGTCTATCTTTTCAATCTTCAAATATTTTAACTTAATGATCTCATAAACTGACTGGAAATCCATACAGATCTCTTGACCGTCTCCTTCAACTAAGGTTTGCTGACTTAGCTGAGTTGCGTTGGAATCGACCTCCAACAAGTCCAAGTCGAGCCAATATAGCAGGGAGATTCCAGTCTTCCAAAATCGCTCATCACTCGGGAAGGGGAGACCTGGATTGACTCACGCTGAGTTGGCTGTGATGATGTAAAATGAAGACTCAACTCATTTTACACCATTTTCTCACCCTTATTTTCTCACAATAGCTTTTTGGCTCTGCACACTCTCTATTTAATACTCATATAAAACGTAAATTTGAGCCTCAAACATCAAAATCAACAAGATTACAAGATTTAATCTGTGAGTTTTCAAATAAAATTATAAAAAAAAAAAAAAAAAAAAAAAAATTATTTCTTTCATGTCACTCCAAGTATTATTATAGATCCCTTCTCACATAATGCTATGTTGTTGTGTAATGTATTAATGTGCTTTATGTAATAAAGTTTTATTTATTTCACGTTAAAGTCTATTATTCTTCATTAATTTAGTAAAAGTCTAAGTTATTAAGCCTTTACTCTCAACAGTGATTTAAAATTCATGTATAAGCCATTGCTAGTATTAAATCATCATTAAAATTCATTAAAAACCCCATATTTTACAGATTATGTAGTAGAAATTTGTGTATCAGTTTATTTCAGGCCCTACGTGTGAGATCCAAAAAAATTTCATGACTGCGGCACCTGATTTCATTACAAAAGTACGATACAGCCCCGCATCCGCGACTGCAAACCATGCCTTCAACCAATATCCCCACCTTATCTATGGGATCACAACTCTAAAATGGTATAGATCTTGCCAAGAAAATGCTCTCATCAACAATATACCCACTTTTAATGCAATGGCATGATTCTGAGAGATCTTCAAATTCTCCATTCCATTTTTCTTTTCATCCATTACTCTTTGTAAAATAATTGTTATGGGATAGATCCTTCTCTCAATTTGATAATAGTAAAGATGTGAATTACTGATCTTTACCTTTTCTCTGGGTGACAAAGAACGGAACAATATGATCCAATGAAAGATTTCAACAATCCTATTTAAGATGCCCACTATCACAACTTTTTTTCTGATAAGTAGAAGGCCACTATCACAACTCATCATAACTCACTTTGAAGTGAGTTCTCTTTCCCCTACTCGTTTAAGTGATTATTTAATAAGCTTCAATTTTCAACCACTCTACATTTAACCCTCTCAAACGAAGATAGGACTTTTCAAATATAATCCTTTGAATCAATTTTACACGTCATACATATATATAATTGGAATGGCTGCCCCTGTTATACACTAATTGTTCACTGAAATACCAATCTATCCATCTTTCTAACTAATTTGCCCAGTGCACCACTTCCATTCACAGGTCAGAGAGACCATACAAGAGTACTTTTTCTTTCTTCTGTTTTTTTTTTTTTCACCAAGTTGGTACCATAAGAAAAGAAATGGACAGATAAGAAAATTTTGCAGAGTTGTGAAGTATCAAGTAGGTCAGGTGTTACTTTACTGAAAAATAATAATAAAAAATAAATAAATAGGTAAGGTGTTCCCATGATAAATGACAATCTTTGGTGCTCAGTGAAATGTAATTAAGAGAGAAGAAGTGCAATAGAGGAATCAGAACTAACATCAAGATCAAGTGATAATTAATGAAGGTTGTGGTTCCCAGGTTAACCATGATGAAGCTGTCCAGCATTACTTCACTACATAAGTATTCCTGTGCTTGGGTGCTTTTGTTGAAATTCTAGGAGATATATGCCCCCTATGTGATTGTTGTGTGCTTCTGTGGAAATTTCCTTTTTATTTCTCTTTATATTCTTTTACCGTGGGGAAACAACTTTACTCTTTTTTACCTCTTCATACTCCCTCTTATAAAGTTTTTATTTTCCATGAAGATGTCTGTCTGTGCAAATGAAAAAAATAAAATAAAATAAAAAAATAATGTGATGAGTGTGTCAATATATCCATATAGTATAAGGAGAAAGATACATCAAAAACACGACAATTACAAAGCATCAAGGAAAAAAAATATTCAAATAGTGCAAACAGAATCTCATATATTAATTAACCAAGATGAAACATAAACATAGCTAGAAAATGGGCATGATTATTGCTACTATTATGGCACCAACGCTAATCTAGAACACCCAAACAGACACCATCCCTTGTTACAACTGAGAAGTCACAAAATAACTCTTGGCAATAACCCTAACACACCTCGTATGAGATCATTTAACAACGACAGATACTCATTTCATCGCTTCAACTTGTTTTTGAGAATTTCCATAGTGCTACAACCTACATGTAATGTTTCTAAATGAAGACTTTTCAAAGCTGGGTTCCAAGGGAAAGGGGAAATCAAACTGAAAGTTGCAAAAATGGAATGAGATAGATTAGCAATTACAGTATCTTAGACTCAATTGTTTATGTAAAATATTCACTAGAGGAAGTTGCAAGTGCAGATTATGTCACTGATATTACTTCATATTCTATTGCAATGCTTAATTATATCCTTACACATCAGGTTGTAATATGACTTGTATGATAAATACTATTATCTATTAAGTACAATATAATACCCATTGATAAATCTATGAATAAGAAAATTATAACATTAGAACATAATAGAAAATATAGAAACTGCATATAAGGGATTTATGACCCTAGATAATAACATTTTGTCCTGCAGAATCAGCAAAATTTAAGCAAGAATTAGTTACCAAGCTGCTTGAGAAACATACCTGCAGATTCAGTGTATCTGAAAAAATCCTGAACTGAGAAAAGCTTCTTCTTGTCAGGATAGCCTTTTGAAGATCGCCCAAACTGAGGTACAAGTTCAATTAGTTCTGTCAATGAAACAATTGATAGTGTGGATCTCAACCGCTCGACATTTGACAAGGGAATGCTAAATAACCCATTAGCCAGCTTCTGCGGAGAACTACCCCCAGATTCTTCCCCGTCTCTAGAAGCAACACTGTCATCACCCTCTTCTTTAACAGAAGAAGCTACTCCCACAATACCCGATGGAATGCCTCCCACTCTAGCAAACCTCAAATTTTGCAAAAAACCATCGATAACCTCTTTTTTACCTTCCAAAATGCTTGTAAGTGCACGATTAAACTGATTGGTAGGATGAGGAGGAAGAGATGAGTCACAATTCTTGCATTCACTTTGTTGGACACCGAAATCGAACTTCTGAAGATTTTGAGTTAATTGATCAAAAACAAAACCTGTAAGGCACTCAATTGACATATTTATTCCTTGATTTTGTTTTACATCCTCATTCTGAAATGTTGAAAGAAGACCGTTTGATTGCTTTCGCTTTCCTTCACAAGGAACCCACTGTTTAAATGTGCATGGGGACGAATTTGTACAAAGTTCGTTTCCATAATCTGTTTTCTGAAGCTGCTTTTTACTGATTTTAAACAGATTCGGGATAGCCTGGACGAATCCATCAAGCAACACTGACCACATCACCACCAACCGTATGCAATTCACAACCTCATTACCAGCATACCTCTCCTTCAACCCCTTTTTTGACATGTTGACCTTATGGTCATTACTTGTACAATTTTGTGGAAAAAATCCCAAGAAAGTCTTAATCGGAATCTTTATAGAAAAACCCTTCTCTCTATTATCACTAACCACGCACTCAGTACATTTTTTCTTCGAAGACAGGATCTGAACCTTACTACTAATCTTCTCAACACTAACAAATTCCAGATTTCTCGCCCCATCATTTGAACCTGGCCAACAATGCTCAAAATCTTTTGCTGCTTTTCGAATACCACATTCGAGCGGCATAAACGCATCCTTGACAACTTGAAGCGAATTAAAAAAGGACTCTACAGGGTCAGTCGCATACACCATCAGTGAAAATTCCAATTTTATCACTTCTGTAAATATTCTTATAAGTATCGGATCTTAACAAACTCTCAGACGATTCATGCCCAATCAGATATTAGTTTCACAGAGCAATTAGAACGAACCATAGCTATAGAGAACAGCGAAATGCGATCTAATGAAAGAAAAAGAAAAGGAACAACAATCAATTATGTAAATGTGAAAGAACAGTTCGAGAAAACCCTAAATTTCCGAACACAACCAAAAGCTTGCGGCCAGAAAATCTAATCGTGAACAATTCTCGAGCAAAATGACTACTTGAACTTATGAAGTGCTTATGTTGTGTGTGTATATACACACACATGAACAGAATAGATATGAAAGCTATACAGAGTGTACTTACATGTGTAATGGCTATAGATCAACTTCTACACTGCTGAATTTAGAGAGAGAGAGAGAGAGGGATTCGCTGCTAAGCTTGAAGAAGGAGAGTTTATTTTAGATTATTTTTTTTCTATTTATACTTTTTTATTTCTTTCGCTTACGCAGAAAATATAAAATTATCTTTTTTTCTTTTTTCTTTTTCTTTTTTTCTTTTGGATAACGTCTTACTAACGTCCACGTAGGTTTTGTAAAACACCTGATTTTTTTCTGGACAAAATATAGCCCTGACCAAAGTACATGTGTTTAATAACTTGATGGCATTACTGTCATTTTAGGTTTCTTTCGTCTTACTGACCACTCCATTGGCCCGTGATACACTCATCACGAGTCACGACCCCTCTCTCTCTCTCTCTCTCTCTCTCTCTCTCTACCAGATTCTCTCTCTAAAAAAACTGAAATCTCTTTCTTGTCCAAAGCTGTGTGAGTGCTAAATAAAAAATATATAAATTCCACCTACCGGGCTTGAGATTTGTCCAAAGCTGTGTGTGTGAGTACTTAGACCCATTTTTAATTTTATGATTTCACTTACCTCCCTCTGTCAACTATAAAATTTGATTACGATAATGTGTGTCATTTTATCTCTTTGCTCATAAATTATATGAGGCATTTTGCCTGAAAGTATACAAGTGATGGTACACTCACCAACTCATGTAAGTCGATGGTGAGAGGAAAGAAGAGTCGTGGACGCTTTTAGATTGGTTAGCAGTGTTCAATTTGTAGGTTGTATTAAATCAAATTCAATTAATTATTAATTTGATATCACACTAAACACCGACCTTCCACTGTTAGCGTGGACGAATAAGTAGGATATTCCTACAGTCCCACCTCCAGTTGCCAGTTCAAGTATGAAAAAATGTTGTAGTTTCTTGCTCCATGTCGAATCTCAAAGTCTTGGAACTTATGAACGCAAGTAGGATGGATTGTTGTTGATAGTCGAATACAATATAACTTCTAAAAATTAATAATATTAGGATTACGTAAAATTTATTAATTAAGTGAGATATTGATTTATCGATAAATTAATAAGTTATTCATTTAATAAGATATTTTATATACATTATTTATTTATTTTTAAATATTTAGTTTTTCAATAGTCGTAAAGATTTAATACATTATTCTCATTTAATCAATTAAGATTTAATGTATTGCACTCATGTAATCAATTAAAGATACATTTAACCAAGTAAAGATTCAATTTATTGTACTTAATACTTAATAAACTAAAAATTCAATATATTGTACTCATCTAATCAGTTAAAGATACATCTAACCAACCAAAGATGAAATGTATTGTACTTACTATTTAATAAAGTAAAATTCAATGTATTGTACTTATTTAATCAAATACATGCAATGTATTATAGTCACTCCTATATGTATTTCTTACCAAATTATTAATTTATGTAATAAGTGGAACATATACAAACCTATAAGGGAATTTTTGAAATATATTATTTTATAAATTTAACGAAATTATTAATTTAGTACCTTGGTCCAAGTCGTGACCGACATAAGTTATTATTTAAAAGAGATTATTAATTTATAAATGTTACATTGTATATTTAGAATTGTGTTACACTGTTATATAGGAGCCGAATTCGTCCTAAAACGTGGGATCAAACATAGTGCATTTACTTGCACCGGTGATACCCGTCATCTATGTTATCAATCAATTATATTCTGTCACATAAGAAAAAGTGTATTTATTTAGTGGTCATATGTAAGAAGGGTCATTTAACTCATTTGTCTCACATCAAATTCGGATGAGAAATTGATTAAGTATAAATAGGTGGGTATGTAGTACTACTCAACAACTTGATCTTTTAGGTAAATAGGCAAGCGTCCATCTGTTACAGTTAGTATCAAAGCCAGACTAATTTTTGATTTGGTGTCACGTCAAGTGTCTGACCCAAAAGACATCCGGATGAGCCACCTCGTATAGGTAAGGTGATCCAAGTGCAACAAGAGCGTTGTGAGTTTAGATGGGGGAAAATGTAAGAAGGGTTCTTTGTTCCACGTCAGATTCGAATGAAAAAGTAATTAGATATAAATAGGTGAGTATGTAACATTACCTAACAATTTAATTTAATTTTATTAATCAATGAATAAGCATCCATTTGTGTCAGCATTTAATTAGTTACCATGAGATTCAACATGGTGAGATCGATGTAGACCGCATTTACATACATCCTATGGAATAATGCGCTCAGTACACCGAACTAATCAAAGCCACGCTGGTATACCTACTTCATCCTATGGCTGGGATGCATTAATCAGTAAACATACAGATTAGTATAATTTTCACAATTTTCAATGTAATAAATAATACTTCCATGTGATCGAGTCTGCCGTAAGGTCCTACAGTTTTCAACGAATGGTATGTGGATAAAAGTATGAAGTAAGGTCCTCGTAGGTGGGACGACACATGGACCATGGTAAGTGTGGAATTCATAACTACCTTTACCCTTTTCCTCCTACCCACTCTACAACTCAATGAGCCAACCTGACGCATTTACTCTTCGACATCATTATTCCCAATAAATGCCTTCTCATCTGCGGTGTTATGCTTCAGGCCCACTACAGCTAATTTTCAGAACAAAATATGTTTGAGTCGAATTGTATTGTTTTAAACAGTACATAACACTTTCAAAATTTGGGCTAAAACTTGGAATCAAAAAAACTTGTTCTGGCTTATTCCACAAATTTTTTTAGGGCAAATCAACTCTGAACTTGCCCTAGTCTCTCTCTCTCTCTCTACAACTGCAAACTACAAAATCTACAAGGATTAGAAGTCCCGCCTCCATCTCTATTCTCGTTCTCAACTCTGAACTTGCCCTAGTCTCTCTCTCTCTCTCTGCCCCGCCTCCACCTCTATTCTCATTCTCAACTTTGAACTTTGTTACAAACCAAATTTCCCCAACCCAAATTCGATCCCTTCCAAACAACCACCAAAACCAAATTTCCTCACATCCCACCAATTCAAAATATTGTGTATTTCAAAGTTTTGGATTTATGCTATGTTTTATCTAATTACTCTCATCTACAGAGCCGATTTTTCATAACCCATTTATGATTTCCCATAACTAAGCTCTGATTTAGGGTTCTGTAGAACAGATTGTTCAAAAAATCAAAACCCATATCTTTCAGTTTCCATGTTCCAGTTCTGGTTCGCCGTTCGCAAGCTTCAGCCGCTCTCTCAACTCTCAAGCTTGCCCCCTCTCTCTGCAACTGCTAACCTGTGTGTATGGGTTTTGTTTTAATTTTTTTTCTAAATCAACTAATCAAGGTCTGTAATTATCTTGTTTTGCAAACTAATCAAGCTCTGTAATTAATTAATTTTAATCATTCCAAGAAATAAAATTAATTTCTATTCCAAAATTTTCATTCCAAATTTTCGTCCCAAACATGTTTTGTTTTCGTTTCAGACACCACACTACAAAACACTTAATCTATTCTAAGCTAAGCTAAAATACTTTCCAAACCGCCCTTAGCGTCTCCCCATAAAAATCTGATTGCACCAATGAATGGTATATATATACATATAACAAAAAAAAAAACGAAAAAAGAATGGGGCACCACCAGGAAAGGAAAAGAAAACCAAAACAGTTAACAAGCCATCACAATCAGAACATAACCCCCATAGGAAGACAATGGACAGAAATTTATCTGTTACATAAACTAATTTCATTCCCAAACCAGTCCCTAATACATAACAATTGACTTTTCTAACAATACAAGTGTTTGAAGAAAAAGAAGAGAACACAAAGATTGAAGTAAATAACAAATAACCCATCAATTATTAATATTCCATTTGCACCTGTAACAAGAGCTAGCAGTGGTTGAAGAAGAACGAATCAAGTGTCAGTGCCTTTAATTCACTCCTCTTCATTTGCATCTATCTAAACTTGTACACTTCTATTGGCAGTTCCTGCACTAACTAGTCCCTCCATTGTCAACTTTCTCTTCCTTGAGCGCACTAACATCCTTAACGGGGTTTGTTTCCATCTTCGGGGGACCAGAGTGCCTGCGTGGCCAAGCTGGGGAAGACGGGAATGAGAGCCGCTTCTTTGCAGAAACTGTCGAATCCTTCTCTGGCGTCCCGTTATTTTCGAATCCCGATGGGCTCGACAACCGGGACTTGGCTTTTGCTGACTTTGTGGGTGCCATGTAACTTGGAAATGCAGGTGAGCTTGCAAGGCTCTCGTCGTCCCTCACTGATGACCCTGCAATGCTGTGCCTCCTGTACCTCTCCGACTGGGCACTTAGCATGCTCCTCGAGTCGTCATCCGTGCCACACACACTCACCTTTGAACTTGCTGGCCTCATTTTTCCTGATACTGGTGATGGTGTCGGAACCTTGGAAGTGGGAGTCGAAGGTGATTGGCGGCTGGGAGGACGGCTCTGTTTTTGGCCAGTTGGAGAAGGCTTGTTGTCAAGGTTGAGATCGCGACGAGAATAAGATTTTGTGATTTCTCCAACAGAAATGGCACGGCTGGTTGCGCTTTTTATAGAGGCATGGTCACTGTTAAGTTCTTTGTCGACTGTGCTTCTATTTTCCCATGGCCGGGCTGCCATCCATCTCTCTAACCAGCTCCATCCCCAGTGGGGATTGACCGGATCCATGAATGTCGGATTAGCAGATTTTGAATTGTTCTTCCACGTTTGCTGTTGTAGAAAGATTAAATCCATGTTAGTTTCAAGAGCATCTTCCATTCAACATGGAGAAAGAACATCTTCAGCATCAACAATTTTCCTGTCATTCTCTTTTTTTTTTTTAAAAAAAAAAACATGGTGGGCCTATTTGGTACTCCTAAAAGCTAGATACAGGTGAACATTAGCATCTCTCACATATCCTATGAGAGTGGAAGTGTTATTACACTGGGTTAAAAAAATTGATATTGGAGAATTAAGTCGCTCTTATAATCTCCTTTATAAAGCATGATCATGAAAATTTAAAAAATTAAGATCAGGGCTATAAAGCTTCCACTATCTGTCAGCTCAAGTGGTATCTCCTGCCACTGCCAGAGGTGCAGGGTTCAAGTTCTAAATAGAAATTCAGGTATGTGTTGTAAAAGACAAGGCTCATTTCAATGCGATACGAGAAGTACATAGGACTTATTTGAAAGTTATATATATCACGAAGGATCAATTCAATTATCATGGGAGTTTTACTTAATAAAGAGACCCAGCTCCACTTAATACTATTACAAAATCTTCAACCCTCAACCTCTATCAATGACGATATTTCAATGCCAACCCTAGTCCACTTAACCAAGTAGTTTCATGGGGTTTTTGAATTTATAAGATTTGCAACAATTCAACTTATAATTTTGTATCTAGCATGGGAAAATGGAGAATATGCAACTATTTTCCATATCTAAATCCATTATGATACATGGCCTTAAAATTGTGCATATTGAAAGATTAATTAGTATTCATCTTCAAAGAATCTTAGTATTACAAAATAGAATAAAATAAAGAGAAGGATAATAAGATGTAACACATTACTTGTAGTTTTTTCCCCCCTTATACTATTTAAGGCACAAACAAATTGTATGTGCCTCCTCACCAATCAAAACTCAGAAATTTACTAATTTAGCATAGCAAATAATTTTGAGAAAATTATCACGAAAACATTGGATGAAGTTATGCAGAACAAGAATAGTTCTGTACCTGGTGGGAGTATGCATAAGCCAATGCTCTTTCCCTTCTTATAGCAGCCTCCTGCTTGCTCTGTAGCTTTGCTTCAATTTGCTCCTTGGATTTGCTACTATCGTCCCAATTTTCGCCACTCTGTTGAAAATATATCTTTAAAAATATTTTCTCAAATTTGGCCAAAATTAAGCAATTCAAATTATTAAGCTTTGTGCTAGGCTAGGTCTGTAGAAATACTCAAATATATATATTATATATATCATGGAATGAACCATGAACATGATGGCAGAGCAGAAGAGTTAACAAAATATAGAAGTGTCAACAGGTCACTCACAGAAATTCGCAACTTCTCAAACTCTTTCTCATGCTTCTGTTGTAGCTGTCTCTGGAGAGCTTGGTTCTCCTCCGTCATTCTGATCCTCCTTGCACGGATCTGAGATTGCACACGAGCCAGAGTCTGCATGCATCGTAAGGTGGTTGTTGCCTGACGCTTGACAGAATGCCCTTGTAGCATAGATTTCAACCTCACCAGTCCTCTCAAAGCCCGCAATGCTCTCCTTGCCTGGAAAACAATGAACCCCAAAAAAGAAACATCTTCTAATCACAGCTCATTTGCTCATGAGTGACTTTCCACAGCAGGGCTGTGATTATAAATTATTATTTACTCCTATGTCCTATCCAAGGTTATTTTTTTAAAAAAAATACCTATTTCTATCTTCTGTGAACATTTCAATTAGATGATGGAAACAATCATTCTCACACAGGAAAATAAAATACCAAGTATCCACGGAATGCCGTTTGAATCATGATTGCTGCTACTTCCTCCTTTGATTTACCGGAGTAATGAGCAGTGGATGTGAGCCGAACAACCTCCGCAGCAGCCTGAGCGGCTGCAACTGCTGCCTCCGCAGCCACGGCAGTGGCCAGTGCAACAGAATATGCATGCTTGCTCTGCTCATTCTCTGCTTCTGCAACAGAATATGCATGCTTGCTCTGCTCATTCTCGGCTTCTGCATTAGAATACGTACGCTTGCTCCGCTCATTCTCAGCTTCTGCTAATTTCACCTCCTCGATGGGAGGAGGAGAAGGGATGGCCGTGGCAGTTTCTGCAGGTGCAGAATCCAGATCCAAGCTCTTGCGTTTCCCAAACCATTTTCTCTTTGATTTAGGAGTTTTCTGGTAATAAATTACACAATGTTCATCACAACTTGACAGAAATCACAAATATATATATATATGAAAGTTGAAATCATCCAAAACCTTATCTTTCTTCTCCTTGGGATCAGGACTCAGGACTTTCTTAACCGCAGAAAGCCAACTGCCTTTCTTCCCCATTTCTTACATCTTGTAAAAACAAAACCAAGCCAAATGAGATCATAAAACAACTTGTAAAAACAAAAGCCAATCCATTGAAATTACAACGCAAATGAGATCATATAAACAACTTTTCTGACATTTATTAAGAAACCCTATCAACTAAAATGTCACTTAAAGAATTGCATTTCCAATATAAGATATAAACCATAAACTTCAATAAATTGTATGCTGCTGAGATTAAACTTACCCAGTTACACAATTCTAATTAAACCATTATTTTTGTTTAAGAAATTCAAATATTAATGACAGATCTATAATAATACAACCCATAAAATGTCCCCTATCATTTTGAATGAGAAAATGTGAGGTAAAAACAAAAAAAAAAAGTATAGATAATTCCCATTCCATAAAAAAATAAATAAATAAATAAATAAACACAGACACACACACACACAAACTTTCCAAAACTTGTCCAATTCATTATACAAACAACAAAGGGTATCACAGCCAATGTTTATAAATCAAACCCAGTCCAATTTTTCGTATTTTAAGAACATTAGAGAGAGAGAAACCACAAAACGGTGTTGAAAAATGAAAGCCAATACTATCTTTGGAATTCAACACATAGTTCAAACACCAAATTGGTGCAAAACCCAGATGTTTGGATTGCAAGATCTTCAAACAAAAACAGGAAACCGAGTCCATATTTTCCAATTTGAGAAACTTCATTAGAGAGAGAGAGAGAATGGAAGAGATGTGAAAAGAAGAAAAAAAAAATTGTAATTTTTGCTGTTTCAAATTCATTGGCAAGAGATAACAATATGCATACCTGCAACTAGAAATTGCCAGATCTCTGCAAGTTTAGATCTTTCCTTTCTCTCTGTCCAAACAAGCCAACAAAAAAAATATCAAAGGACTTGAAATCACGGGTCTCTGAAGAATATGAAGAGAGAGAGAAAAATCAGATATGGTCAAATCTTTGCTAAAGAAAACTTACAAAGTTTGAGAGATGAGGAAGCAAAGAATCACGAGAAGGGTATTATTGGAATTTAGAAATTTTGAACGAGTGGGGCCCACGGATTCTCAGTACCGTTTTCTAACAACACGACAGCAAACAACCTCGCAACCTTGCCGTTTTTCACTTTTCCCAAAACAACTGTAGTTTAATAAATATGAATCTCGTGTTACATTAACTACGACGGTTTAAGTTAGGACCAATAATTGGAAGGCACGTCAGAGTAATCAACACATTTTATTTTTCTTAGTAATATAAAATAAAATGGTTTGATTGGACGGATATTTAATATTTTGTTTTTTTGTTGTGTTAATATTTTGTACAAAATATTTTTCTAAGGGTAATATTGTATTTGTAGAATATCATCCCACTTGTTTCATTTTAAAACAGAATCACGACTAAACTAGTGGACCTATTTAATCCAAGTTTGATTTATTTATAGTACGTACTTAGCATTTCATGTGGATCAGAACAAAACAAAATAATAATTTCTATAAAAGAAAATTGATCTAAAGCACTTGGCAAAGAAAGGATGGTCCATCATCAGGTATAATCTTTATCTCGTGATTTTATTTTAAGGGTACTAAAAAATAAAAAGTTGAAATGAATGAAAGAAAAATGAAATTTTCAACATACATTTTATTAGCATGAACTATTTTTTAAGGAAGTTGTGAAATATTACCATTTCATGATTCAAAAAAAAAAAAAAAAAAAAGTACTACTGTAAATTCATAAAAAATCAAAAATTAAAATTTTGTTAGTGTTTGCTGTAAGATTTTACAAAAAGAAAGTTAGTTATAAAAAAATATTTCTTTCTTCAAAATTTTCTTTTTCATGCTATTCAACCCTTATAAATGTTTATAAATTTTTTTTTTTTTTTTGAACCTTTTTACTATTTTCATTGTTCACAATCCTTATTATGTGATCTAAGATCTGATATATATTGGTTTAATTTACATAAAATTAATGATACAATGCTTGTGAGTTATATGATACAGAGTATCACAACTCTTTGGAAGAGACCATTAATATATATATTTTTTCTTTTCGAAATGTACTTCAATCAAAAATTATTTATTTATTTATTTATTTTTTCTAAAACATTATCGAATAACTTAGTTCATCGTTATAACAACTTCCCTTCAAACGGAGTGTGAAGAAAAGGAGGAAAATCTTCTGACCGACCTCCTTTGGTATAACCATTATGGCTTTTACTTCTCCACCTCAAAGACTACCTATAAAAAGAGGGACACAAATATTAGATATACATGTATACATACATACATATACACAGAGTATCACAACTCTTGGAAAGAGACCATTAATAATTTTTTTTGTTTTTTTTTTTTTTTGAAATGAACTCCAATCAAATGTGATTTTTTATTTTTTTTATTTATTTTTTGTCGAAACATTATGGAATAGCCTAGTTGATCGTTCAACAACTTCCCTTCAAAAGAAAGAAAATCTTCTGACCGTCCTCCTTTGGTATTAACTATTCTTGCTTTTACTTCTCCGCCTCGAAGACTACCTATAAAATGGGGGGGACACAAATACTGATATACATGTGTGCATATCTATATATATATATATTGTTGTGCATATCACGTTGTTGTGTCTAGGCCCTAGGGCTATCACGTTGTTGTATCTAGGGCAATAGACTCCACTTGGTCACTGATGGAAGACTCCTTAAATAAGAGGATAATGTGGGATCATGTTCGTTAATGGTAGCAACTAGCAACCCATATCCTTATTTATATCAAAATATTATTAGATCAGATAATGTTCCAAAGAGATAGGCATGCTTTGGTAGGTCATATTAATGACATCACATCTTACTTCATTTCCTCACATACAGACATCAAATAAAACCCCTTTTGTATAAAAATTTGTGCACAAAATATCTCTCTTATTTACAGTACATAATTTCTCAACATCTGAAAAATATGTAAAAACTATTTCAAGGTATCTCTTGATGGTCAATTTTGACCAAACCTTCTTTAAAGTTCCAAAATACTCTTTTTCTTTGTCCACAAAGAGTTTTTGTTTTTTTTATTTTGTCTTAAGGATATTTTAGGTATTTTAATAGTCAAAAAAATATTCTTATTCACTCAATTTGAAAAATGCGTGATTTTTATTTTTTTATTTTTTAACACCAGGGTGGTTTTAGCACATGGTACGTAAATCGCCTTTTTATTTTTTTATTTAAATTGGATAAGAGTCCCTCTAGAAATTGTTGTGCATCACCCTTATTAATGCATTGAATTCTAATGTGAGTTTCACATCATGCAAAGACTTTATTTTCCAATATTACTAATGACATGATATTAATAATTGGTTAAATATTAATACATGATGAGAATAAAATAATTTGAAATTGACCAACCAATCAAGATAACTGTGAGTCCCTTTTTCAAAACCTAGAATACAGGAGGTAAATATGACGACTTTGTCATTCAGTTAGTGAATGATGATCACGATCCCTCTAATTCAAATATTAGTGATCGACATTCGTGTAACCAACCTAATCCCGAGATGACAATAAATACTATCGTGTGACAATTAATGAGGTACGGGACAAAATTCTCAAATATTCAATACAGATTTATTTTTTTTGTTATACGATTTCAAGCACTGACTTAAATGTTAAAGGGTCATCGGTCGACACCTCACTGATGACATAATTTTTATTGTTTTCCAGATAAATACCGTCATTCCGAGCCTCAAAGATTTTGACATTAACAATATGTTAAAAAAAAAAAAAAAGTTTTATTAATGACATTTCGTTTTTTGGGACCGACATGATTGTGAGTGCTGTGAGAAAACAGATGGTTATGTAGGCATTAAAGGGGAGGGTCATAATATGTAGGCATTAAAGTGGAGGGTCATAATGAAGGGGGGGTATTGCTTCATAATGAATTTCACATGATTCTTTACCGTTACCTCTCCCATTAAATTTAGGTCCTCCCTTTCAGTCACCCTTTGTAGGTCATTGTACTGTTTACACTTTAAATGCTTTACTTGTTAGTTACTTACAAATTTTGCAAAGTCTACTCGTCCCAATTGGCCTGTCCCACCCCATATATGGATAGGGAGAGTGTTGACTAATAAGAGCACAGTAACCACTCGACAATTTAAAATTTTCTATTATATGGTCCAAAGTTGTTTCCCATCAATTACAAGTGATGTTTGAGTCGATTCAAAGTCTATCATATCTTAATCAGTTACACGTGATATATGAGTCGATCCAAAGTTATCAAGTTTTGATCGTTATAAGGTCCTCCCACCATCGGGATAGACACGTAAATAAATATCACAAGATTAGTTACACCATTTTTAATAACTTAAGCTTTTAGAGAAATAGTAATTAACATGATAATAGTAATATAAATGCCACACGGGTTCCAGTTTGACATGCGAGCTTATCTCTCCTACTTGAATGTTATATATATATATATATATATATATTGATGAAGGATTTATATATTTAAGTTACACCCACTTTTAGAGTAAATGGTGATTAACATGGTAACATATTAGATCAAAAAAATGCCACACGTGATTGGAGAATATTTTCTTAAAGGTGCATTCGGCTGCATGGAATTGGAGACTTGTGGGATTTGAAAAAAACAATTAAGAAAATTGAATGAAATTTTTATAAAATTCCATTAATTTCAATTCCAATACTCTAATTTTATGTAACTGAACACAGTGAATTAAATTTCAATGATAATAACATAACTAAAAGACACCTATTCTAAAAAATTTCAGACTTCTTCTCTTTCAAAAGGCGGCAGCAACTTGAAGAAACATCAATATACTCACTCTGTCAACCTGCTCTTAACTCTGAGTATCATACTTCCCACAACATGTAACACTGAAACTCTAAACAATAATCAAATTTAAAATTTCATGATGAATGTTCTTGAACTACAGATGTAATGAACTAACAAAATATAAAAGCATATATATTTTTATACAACAAATTCTTAGGAGTTTTCCTTCATGCGCCTCAATAATCAGGGATGGAGGCGAAACGATAGCCTTGGGCACCCCTCCATGAATAATATGCAATTCGAGTCTCGTAAAATCCTCCAGCCATTAGTTGGTTCAGTACTTAAACAGGCAGTTGCTCCAGCTACTGATAGGCAAGACAACTAACTAGAGCATGCATAACTACAGAGAGCTATTTGGTGGACTAAAATATGTAGGTTCCGAATCATAATAGTTCAGAACACACAGGATAAACACAAAACAAAAATCAGGGCCGTTGTTATATCAATCAAAACCGTGTTGTCATCTTTCTTATTACAAGGAACTTTTTATTGACATAAAGGGCGCATTCGCTGTAATAGCAGCGACAATGGCAGTAGGAGTGACAGTTGGCAATTTAGGTGCCGAACCTTCTCTCTATGTTACTCTCCTAAATTCGAAAGCAATTACAGACTTGCAGTTCACAACTCGGGTTGAGAACTTGTTGCACTTTCAGTTCAAAATTCATAATTACAGAGTACTTTTTTATCCACGTCGAATAAAAAATGAAGAGTTTCATGAATAAACAAGGTATTCAAGTGAAACCCATGTGATGCCATAGGCTATAGAATTGTAATGAATTAATTTTATAGAGTGCTTTGCACACAAAGTACTTTCAAATCCTGCTCTTCCTCCATGTTCTCTTAATTTAATACACACTTGCCAAAATACAAGTATATCAAACTAAAAGAATTATCAGTTATCATATTGTTAATTTACTTCTTTAGCAACTAGGGGTTGTTTTGGATGTTCCGAAATAATTGATCCCATTTCGTGTGCAGCATTTTGAAACACAAGCTCGTACTGTAATTCAAGGAACCAATAATACAGGCAGGTTTTGGTCAGGAATTTTTTATTTTTTATTTTAGTCAACAATGGTGGTGTCGGGCCTCTTTAGAGTACCCCATAATTCACCACCAAGTACATGCAATCCTCCCGTCCCACATGCACCGAGCAATTACTGAGAAAATTCCTAGGGTCAGGATTTCCTAGCTCAAAATCTTAAATTCAAAAAAGGGGCTACGTTCAATTAGTCAAAACTAACAATTTTAATTTAAAGAAAGGCAAACATGGAAGACATAGATATCTGTAAAACAGAGCCGATTGTATAATTAGCGATTCACTATTAAATAACACAACCAATAAATGAAAATGAGCTGGTTTACCTGGGAGGAAGGTGTTGGAAAAATATATGCTTAATGTGACTTTTAAGATATAACAACCCTTATACTAAAATGTCATGAGATAATTAACAATATGCTAAGAAATCATTAATTAAATATGCAACTCTATATTTAATTAAATATGCAAAATAAAGTAATAAAATAATAATAATATACAAGGAATGAACCTGGACCGAGGCTAGTATTGGATACTATGTCCTTAAGACAGATTCGCCCCGCTATGGTGCTAACGGACTCAGTGGCGTCTATCTCCCAGGATACAACGGTCTACATCCACCAGTAGCAGCACTACAAACTCGTGGATACGGCGAACCTCCTCCGTGTAATACTCTCTCTGACTCAAAAATGCATCTATATACTATATAAATACTGAATTGGGTGTAATCCGAACCAAATGGTTCGGACCAATCTTAATATTGCTCGATGAAATTGGATTAAGGTCTAAGTGGCTCGAACCACTTAACCTATGGTTTGAACCCACTTGGGTTAGGTTCAAGTCTAGAGAGGGAGAAAGAAGAAAATGGAAATGAACCACTTGCAAATGATCCAAATGGGGGTATTTATAGAAACAGAAATGCCTTTTCGGATTGGGTGCATCTCTTCATTATTGGACATAACCATTACAATAGGTTGCAATGGTTCACATGGTGTCTGTTCACCAATAGACACATCCATTCCAATAGGTTGCAATGGTTTACATGGTGTCTGTTCACCAATAGACACATCTATTCCAATAGGTTGCAATGTGCCTTTTCGAGTGGGTGCAATCATGGGTTATGATGGTTCGGAAAAAGGTGTAACCCTTTGAAAAAATTAAAAAGTGGTTTTTTAATTTAAAAGGTATAACCTTTTAGAAAAACTAAAATATGATTTTTTAATTTAAAAGGTGTAACCTTTTAGAAAAACTAAAAAGTAGTTTTTTAATTCAAAAAACCAACCACCCAAAAAACCCACTTATTTGTGAAACCCATTTAAATAAGTCTAGCCCAAAATTAGGCCCAATCCAAAATTCCAAAAAAGAATAATCTGGACTTTACAATTAGGCCCAAGCCCAAGCCCAAGCCCAAATCCTAAACTCAGCTTATTTATATTTCAATTTGTTTCAACATTTTTTCCACGTGGAACAAACACTTCTCACATTTTGCATACCCATTTACTCATTTAGGCTTATCAAAATACCACACTTTGGAGCTAATTTCTCATTCATTGGGAAACGGATTTCAGAAAGTAAATATATTACGTTCATCTCCTTGCGGAGAGAAACGCGCTTGTCTAGAGATCCGTAAAAAATTATTAGCGGAATCTATTTCAAATTTCATCCAAAGTTTATGTTTTTAATGCCCCCGTTTCCAACAGAAGGCGAGGATTCCAAGTCCTCGAAGGCCATAAGCTTGGGACAGTTCTCCTCCAATGTGACCTGTGAAGATGAAGAAGGATAGAAAGAGAAGCATGCATCCAAGACACAGCAGGAAAAGCGCGAGGGCAATGGATTTCAAAGGGATTTTATCAAAGGATTTCGGTGCAAATTCAAATCTACGGTCGTGTTGCCCACCACTACCATAATCATCATCATCACCAGCAAGACGACTGTATTGAACATGCCGCTTAGATGCCATTCCAGTAATTCCAACTCTTAAATGTTCACAATCTGTCGACAAACACCTGAAGCCTTCAAGTTAGAATCGTAGCATGCAGCTTCAAACATCAAATGAACATAAAGACATCAAATGCAGGATATGAATGAGAACATTATAATGCGGGTCATAAGTTATACGTGTGTTTCGTCCAACCATGTCTAGAACTTCAACAATAAAGTAAAACACACAGAGGAACACGAGAACATTCAATTAAAAAATGAATGCCAACGGTTCAACAGCAGAACAAAAACAGAATCGAGAAAATAAATAAATAAAATTGACACCATGAATAATCAGGACTTCGTAATTGGGAATAAATTGTGTCATTTGGGAGTTTTCACTAGAAAATCAAAGTTTTTAGTTGTTTCTAATTATCCAGTAGGATTTCCATCTTTTAACAATGACCCCAAGTTTATTGATGGATTTTTGCAATGTGTTCCAATACTAAAGCCGATTTACAATTTAGGGTTCTTGCCAGAATCTGAATGCAGCCGACTAGTAACTAAATCCGAACCCATGCTTGTTTGTGCATCATTTCATTTTCATATTCTCATTTCAAACACACGCACACACAATATCATGTTAAATTCGTTAATAGTATAACAGGCCATACACATTATATACCCTACCAATAATATTCATTTCTGAAATGAAATTGTATACCAAACATGCTGAAAAATCCTCTACCATAAGGCTCCGTTTGTTTCGGCGAAAAATATTTTTTCTTTTTCAGGTAAAATATTCTTTTATTTTTACTTTATCGGTGTTTGACAAAGGTTTACGTAGAGCTCGTATGAGAGTTGGTTTGACTGCCCTAATTATGGCAGAATATTTCAGAGATGTTAATGAACAAGACGTACTTCTATTTATTGACAATATCTTCCGTTTCGTCCAAGCAGGATCCGAAGTATCTGCCTTATTGGGTAGAATGCCTTCCATTGTGGGGTATCAACCCAGATTGAGGTCGAGTCCATCTGGCGGGGCATGTAAAATAACTTGCCAAAAATTGATAGATAAGTTATTTTTGGTAAATTTTAATATTTTTTTTCTTCCTAAATATTTTAGGACAACCAAACACCATAAAATAAAATAAAAATTTCTTAAAAATATTTTACGTCCAAACAAACGGACGGAGAATGACACGAGTAGGAATAAAAAACACAATTTCAAACTAAAACCCTAAAAACCCAAATCAGAAACAATATTAAGATCCATTATATATCTTAATCTAAGAATACAAATATGCAATCACTTTAGAGCCCTAAACACAAATTAATTATATATAAGAAACATTATGCATCTATAAATTAATGTATTATTCTAACCAAGAGGATCAATTACATGCAACGCAGCAAAAATTGAGTTCCATAGACATATTTATCACTGTAGTTTGTAGCTGCATTGCATCTTACCAGAACACACACACGCAAACATGTATGTAGACAATTACATAGATATATGTGTGTGTGTATATATATATTAAACCTGAGGAAGGTTGAAATTGTAAGAATCTAATAAAAATCTTACCTTGAGACGAAGAACAAATGAGGAAGCACGCATGAAAGACGAAATATCCCCCACACAGTGGGCCTCCTCTGGCACGAGGCATGACTTGGAAAGTCTTGTGTTGAAAATTGAAATCAAACAAGTGCCGCTAAGGTAAAACAAAATTTTCAACAAATTTGTTCTAATTTTTAATAAATTTATTTTATATTTTTAATAGGGAAAAAACACGTTTATTTTAGAATAACATTTACAAGCGTTAGTTGAAATTTAGAATAAATTTGTGAAATTTTTTATGTTAAGGAATGTGTAACTTTCACATTCTATGCATCTAGATATTTTAAAATTTTAAGGATATGTATCATAGATATGGACACCATGCGACATGAATACTTAAATATGCTAAATAAAATATATATATATTTATATATATATATCTATATTTATACTATTATTAAATGTGGAAAGAGTTTAAGTGTTTCAGTATTTCAGTATTTATTTATTTATCTATACTATTATTAAATGTGCAAAGGGTTTCAGTGTTTAAGTATTTCAGTATTTATTTATTTATATAAAAAAAAAGTTTATTAATTGATATAAATATAGTTTCTATAAAACTCTAAAATTACCTAATAAAATCAATCACAACAAAAAATATTTATTAATTGATATAAAAAGAATAGTTATTTTTTATGAATAATTATCACAATATAATTGGCCCGGCCCAGTTAGGGGAGGATACATGTCATCATTCTATTAATCCAAGAAGGTTCTTGGGTAAAATACAGAAGCTCTCTAAAGAGTTTCGGTATTTATTTATTTTTATAAAAAAATATTTATTAATTGATATAAAAAGAGTTTTTATCTATATCTATACTATTATTAAATGTGCAAATACTTTTAGTATTTATTTATTTATATATATATATATATATATATATATATTTATTAATTGGTATAAAAAGAGTTTTTATAAATAAAAAAAATCAATAAAATTCAAATTAACCTATTTATCTATTTATTACTATGATTTTTTTAATAAAAAAATCTAATTAGACAAAAATTATTAATATATAAAATATTTATTAATTAATATATAAAATAAATTAATTTTTCTAAAACTCTACCAGAAATTAGCTTTTATTATGAGTTTATAATAAAAGCTAATTAGGCAAGGACATATTTAAGGAAAATAAAATAATTTTTATCAAACTCTATCACAAATTAACTATTTTATTTTTAAAAAAATTCTATCACATTAAACAAAGATATATTTAAAGAGTGTCTATAAAACTCTACACAAATTACCTATTTATCTATTTACTATGAGACAAGTATTATTAATATAAAAAATTATTTATTAATTGATACAAAAAGAGGTTTTAAAATTGTTTATATAAAATTCTAATACAAATTACCTATTTATTTATTTATTATGAGTTCTCTAACGAAAGGAAATCTAATTAGACAATAATTATTAATATAAAAACTATTTATTAGTTGATATTAAAAAGAGTTTCTATGAAACTCTAACTCAAATTTCCTATTTATTTATTTATTATGAGTTTTTAATAAAATAAAATCTAATTAGACAAGAACTATTCAGATTAAAAATATTCTTTAACCGATATAAAAAATAAAATAATTTTTCTAAAACTCTACCACAAATTACCTTTTATTATGAGTTTTTTTTTTAATAAAAGGTAATCAAATTAGACAATAATTATTAATATATAAAAATATTTATTAATTCACATAAAAAGAGTTTTTAAAATATTTTCTATAAAACTCTAACACATATTACCTATTTATCTATTTATTATGAGTATTTTTAATAAAAAATATAATTAAACAAGAATATATTTAAAAAAATAAAAAAATTCTATAAAATCTACCACAGATCAGTATCACATTATTTATTTATTATAAGTTTTATAATAAAATAAAATCTAATTAGACAAGAATTTATTTAAACAAAATAAAATAATTTCTATAAAACTCTACCACAAATTTGTTATTTTATTTTTTATAAAATTCTATCACATATAACCTGTATTTATCTATTTATTATGAATATTTTTACAAAAATATATAAAAATATTTATTAATTCATATAAAAGGTGCTTTTAAAAGATTTTCCATAAAACTCTAACACATATTACCTATTTCTCTATTTATTATTAGTTATTTTAATAAAAGAAAGAATAATTAAACAAGAATATATTTTAAAAAAATAAAAAATTTCTATAAAATATATCACAAATTAGATGTTTTATTTTTATAAAACTCTATCACATTAATTATTTATTATGAGTTTTTTAATAAAAAAATCTAATTAGACATGAATATATTTAAACAAAATAAAATAATTTATATAAAACTCTACCACAAATTAGCTATATTATTTTCTATAAAAATCTATCACATATATCCCGTATTTATCTATTTATTATGAATATTTTTATAAAAAAATAAAATAATTTCTATAAAACTCTATCACAAATTATCTATTTTATTTTCTTTAAAACTTTGTCACATATAACATGTATTTATCTATTTATTATGAGTTTTTTAAAAAAAGGACATCTAATTAAACAATGATATATTTAAAGAAAAAAAAAAATTGAAAGAGTTTATGTAAAACTCTAACACAAATTACCTATTTATCCATTTATTATGAGTTTTTTAATAAAAGAAAATATAACTAGACAAGAATTACTAATATAAAAATATTTAATAATTGATATAAAAAGTAAAATAATTTTTTTTTTAAACTTTACCACAAATTACCTTTTATTGTGAGTTTTTTAATAAAGAAAATCTAATTAGATAAGGATATATATATTTAAAGAAAATAAATAATTTATTTAAAAATCTACCACAAATTACCTATTTTATTTTCAATAAAACTCTATCACATTCGACAAATATATATTTAAATAGTATTTATAAAATTTTAACACAAATTACATAAACTCTACCACAAATTAACTATTTTATTTTCTTTAAAACTCTATCACAGATAACAAATTAGCTTTTATTATGAGTTTCAGTATTTTAGTATTTCTGTATTTTATTGTTTATATAAAAAAATATTTATTAATTGATATAAAAATAGTTTCTATAAAACTCAAAAAATTACTTAATAAAATCAATCGCATTTAAATATTTATTAATTGATATAAAAAGGTTTTTATAAAATTAGTTTCTATAAAACTCTAAAAATTACCAAATAAAATCAATCATAATAAAATATTTATTAATTAATATAAAAAGAATAGTTTTTTAAGGATAATTATCATAATATAACCAACCTAGTTATAATTATGTCATTATCTGATTATCAGGAGGAGACACATGTCGTTATTCTATTAATCCAAGAAACCAATAAATAAAGGCATAGAAAAAGGAGGAAGGGGTACAGAAATTGACAATTCTAGAAATTTAGGATTGCAGAGTAAAATACAGAGTTTCTG